GCCGTACGAGGAAGCAGCGGTGACGGCCGCGACGGCGCCGGACCGCACCAGTCAGCGCCCGCCGCGGTGCCAGGTGGAGAAAACGGACCAATCCCAGGCCCTCGCTTGGGCCGGGGGGAAGCTCTCATTGGTGGAGAGAATGCTGGTGGTGTGGGAGTGGTGTGGGAAACCATAGATGGGGAGAGAGATGGGGGAAAGGCAGCCATTTTCAGAGATCAGGCCGAGAGGGCAGAGAAGTCAGAGGTCGGAGGGCAGAGACAGAACCAGAGCCACAAGATCCCGGGAACTGCTCTCCGTGACGTCGCGTTCCGACTTTTATGCCCGCGTGCCATGTTACCTGTTCCCCCTGCTCTCGCGTTGGAATAGTCCAACCGCCAGTTGTGAACGCCAGCCCCCTTCTCTCATTGCCTCCAACTATTGGCCCAGGTAGCTGTCGCTCACTCGTGGCAGAGCCAATGAGCTCGCTCAAGCTGCCTGAGGAGGGGGGTCACGCGCAGCCCCCTCAGCGCAGGGTGCGGCTTGGTGGTGTTGGTGCAGCCATAGCAGGCCCTGGCAGCGGTGGTGCTGCTTCCCCTCTCCTCTGCCGTCCTCCTGAGGCCCTGGCAGCCGCAATGCCTCCTTCCCTCTCGTCTTCAGTCCCCCTGAGGCCCTGGCAGCAGGAGTGCTGCTTTCCCTCTCGTCTGCGGTCTCCCTGAGGCTGGCGTGGCCGCGCGGCGTGCACTGCCAGGGCCGCTTTGAGAGCCCTGTCTTCAGAGTGCGGCTCTTCCCGCGGTACCAGCGCCCTGAGTTACTCTGCACGCGTGTGTAAGGCCCTGCTGACTGCAAAAGAGATGATGCGAGCCAAGTGAGGGGATCAGGGGCAAATCCGAGCAAGGGGGGCTGTCTGGGGTATAGGGCTGATTATTCAGACTGGATGTCTAGGAAGACAGTTCAGGCTGGATGTCTGCCCGATGCTTTTGCACTTTATGTCTCCACAAGATGGAAGCCAAGACCTGTCTCTAACCCAGAGCCTCCTGAGTGGCTTCTGCTGGAGAACTGCACACCCAGCACTGCACCGTACAAGCCAGAGAGAGAAGCCTGTGAAGAGAAGCAGCCTCTTCCCTTCTCCCACCCTTTTCTTTTTTGTCCTGTAACCATACTGTTTTATCAACACTACTATCCTAGGCCACTGCCAGGCAAAGGGAAGGCTCTATACAAGACCCCATCAAGAATTTTGGGTTTGTCTTCTGTGCAAGCAAGTCTGTGATTTTCCTTGCCCTGACAAATTGTTGTCTCTCTTTCTGCCATTACCCGTTACAGGTTGATACGAGTAACAATTACTATTGACTCGCAGGCGGGCTGTGTGCCACTTAAGGCAAAAGGCTGTCTCTGTATTCACCGACAGCTTTTAATGCAAATATAAGATGATGAGATACATCTCTCTATTAATATATATTTTATGTGTCAGGTGCCTGTGATGATTTGATTTCTTGTTTGAAATAAACCCTGCAGGATTTCTACACCAAATACTAGGTTTCTCCACATATGCAGCATAGGGCAAGGTAGAATATTTAACTGTCTTTTCCAGTTCTTCAGCGTAGACTGCCATGTAGCTACTTACTGGCTTGGGCTGTAAAAACCAGTTCTGCCCATCCTAGCTTGAAGGGCCTGGAATGTACTTGTATTCTTCTTAAAACAAACAAACAAAAAACCCCAAAAACCTGTTTGACTTGAACACAATGAAATATAAGGATATATTGGGTAGAAAAAGGAAAGGTCTTTTTTAAGTAGGGAAAAAGAAAGTAAGTAAACCAAAAGAATTGAAATTCCATTTCTGCTGAATTAATTTTCTCTTACCATTGAGTTGCTGAGCTGAAAAATCATTATTTGCACAGAGGTACTCCATTATACCCGCACAGCTCAAAATCATCGCTCCCTGCTGTGGAAGTTTTTATTTCTTTTTGGTAGTTACACAAGTTTCCCTAAAACCTGCTTCTGCTACAATTCAAACCCTGCACTGCCCATTTATTGGCCAAATAATTCTTCTCTCACTCTGTTTTAAATCCGCATAGCGGTTCCTGATTGCCGGGCTCAAGGATCATGACCCTGTCGAAAAAGACCAATGTAGTTTGATGTATTTTAAAAGCATTAAAAAGATACCTTCTTCATACCCGCACATGATTGCCTAATCCGCTAGTCAGGCAGGTCACACAAGCTCTCTGGCCACACCCGGTGACTGCATTTCTCTTTATTTCGCAGTTTCAGGGGTTTAGATACAACAGCCACATTCCTAGCGCTGCACAAATCGCACTTCCAGTACTAGGTCACACACGCCCAAAAGAGGTCACAGTAAAGATCTCTGAAAGCAACATACAAACAAACGAAGGGATCAAGCCTTTCGCACAATGAGCTCAAACTACATCAATGTAGTTCCATTTTTCTCCAGAATACTGTGCTTTTTTCTTAGAAGTATTACACTTTGCAACATAACAGAACGAAATTACAAAAGCATTCGCTAGTGTCACGATCCAGCAAGTTACAGTGCAGTGGGCAGATACTCGACTCCAGTTTCTGGCATCAGAAAGTCTCCTTGGTCAGAGGAGTTCACAGGCCTAAGGTAAAGCCACAAAACTTTCCAGGATTTTCACCTTAAGACAGCAAACTCTCCGTATCCACCTAGTTTACATTTACAGACACAGTTTGCAGTCACTGTCGGGACCTGGGATGCACAAACAAGTGTGTGATCGTAAAGGCATACAGTGTACGTAATGGCACAGATTTGCAAAAGCAGTTCCTCCAGCTGTGTCGGAGAAATGCAAGCTCTGCGTGTGGCTAATGCACACACAGCCCCACACACAGATGTAGAATTTTCGTAATTTTAGAGATGCTGGAAGTATCAGAATATTTTTGATGTGAAGTATTGAAAATTGTTCCTCCCTTCAAAGAATGATGCAATGAAACACCCACAGAACAACTCTAACAGGATGTCTTTGCCATTTTTGACTTGCAGTTATGTTTTATTAATCAATCTTCCTTTTTTAGAATTATACTTTGTGGTTGAATCTGAAACCAGAAAAACTATCCCCACACATGCACCCACCTAGCACAAAACTAAAAAAAAACCACAACAAAACCCCAAAAAAACCCATCAACAGGATGCAGAAAGAAAAATCTGATAATATTGGCACTAATATTTGCCAGCACTCACGTTGTGGCTCCTGATATTTTTATCTTTCTGAGACAGCGCTGTTCCAAGCCTTACATGTCAGATTTTGCCTCCAACTAAGCACGCGGCAGCCACTTCCTCCGTCCCTTCGTCCCGCACCAGATCCAGCACCAAGCAGTTGATCAGAGCAGATCCCAACCCGCCGAGGTACAACTACTGGGTACAAGGGAAAAGCTGCGGGACAGTCGGCTCCCGGGCTTCTCGAACCAAACCCACCGGGACCGCAGGGCGCCGAACACAGCAACGCCGCCAGCCCTCTGCCAGCCGTCACCAGTGGCTGCGGGAAGCTCGCAGGTGAGGGCAGCCCCGGGAGGGGCTCTCCGGCCCTCTCCCGCGCCCCAC